GCAATGGCAAGCATTTGGTCCCCTTCCATACACTTACAGAATTTTCACTCCTAAGCTAATACATTTAAAAGAACAATTAGACAAATCACTCTCGCTGCTTCTCTCACTATGTCATATCCTGAAGACAAGCAATGGTGAACTGTTTCTCCTTTTGCCTCAAGCGCCTGATACCCAGAGCGAGGAAGCTGCCTCCAGACTTGGTGTTGGCAGAAGCGGCTAAATGGATTTATATTGAGTTACTGCTCCTGTGTTGTTTTGTCTGTGGTTCCTGTGCTTGGGGTTTGATGGTCACATCAAAGGAGTAGCTCTGTTGTAAGAATTGGTCAGCAAGGGTCAGATAAATCATGGTTATTACTGAGACTCATTCCCATGATAATTATGGACAGGAGACCCTTGGTGTGTAAGTCTGTTCTCTTGGTGCAACACATATGCCTCAAGCTTGTTAAAGACTCAGCAGTGATGGACTCATGAATATCTTTCTTGGAGGGGAGGTGGCTTACTCAACCTTGAAAGAGGGCACGATGGCCTATCAAGTCTCCTTTACTGTGGCAGTCAAGGATGTTTGTTACCAAGGCAACACTTGCCCCTGAGCGTGGCGGTACCCTCCTCTGGTAGTCACCAGGCCGTAAAAAGGTTGTGATGATGATACCACAGCTGGTCATTTGTAGTATTCTACAGTGTACTTCTGCTCTTAGAAATAATGAAATAATAAAATAAATCTAAGTGGCTGCTTGTGAAACAAAAAAAAAGGGGGGCGAGGGAGGGACTGGCTTAGTTCCTGTTTAGGGGGTGGCTTGTGACTGTGACAGATATAACGAGAGTGAAATATGGTCTGTGTGCCTGTTTGCTTTGCCCTCCCGACTGCAAACACATCTCCATCATCTTGCCAGACCCCGAGGGAAGCCTATTTACAGCAGCTGGACTGGGACTGACTGGCTCGGATAGGGCAGAGGCCAGCCGCCGCTAGTCCACAGGAAGGTCTACACAAGCTTAGCTACACAAAGCTCCAGTCGTATTGTTTTTGTGAAAAAAAAAAGGGGGGGGGGTCTTTAGGTTTTCTGTAATTAAGGAAAACGGTTTAAAAAGAAGTAGTGAAAGATCTAGGAAGCAGAGTTTTATACTATGATAAATAATCTTCAGTTTGATAGTTTATAATTAGGGAAGGAGGGGTTAATTCCATTACGCAGTTGTTTTAGGAGTTTATGAGCAATTTTAAATTTATCACCCGACTTGTACAAGTGGAACATTATGAAAATAGCCATTCTTTGCAAAATTCTTTTTCGTACACACGAGAAAAATGTGACTTTGTTTTTGCTGCAATGAAAACTCAAAACTATTAACAAGGCAAACTTACGTGCAAGAAACTTTAGGTTAACTTGCCAAAGATATTCAACCTCTTTCTCTCCCTTAAAGAAAAGTTTATATATAAGGCATTCTATTACATGCATATACCACTTCACATGCATAAATTTCTTCAGTCCCACAGACAACAGAGGTTAATGAAACAGAAAATTCAGTTCTAGGAAGACTAAGAAGTTAAAGGCACATATACATGCCTCTGATTATAAGGTTTTTGGAAAATAATACACATAGTAAGCTGTTAACTGCTATAGAAAGCATGCTTAACTGTAGGCTGAAGTTTAAGTTAGTTGAAAAGCCCTTCCTGATAATGAAAATTATTTTTTTAAAAAAATATTTTATTGATTTTTTTTACAGAGAGGAAGGGAGAGGGATAGAGAGTTAGAAACATCGATGAGACCGAAACCGATCAGCTGCCTCCTGCACACCCCACACTGGGGATGTGCCCGCAACCAAGGTACATACCCTTGACCGGAATCAAACCTGGGACCCTTCAGTCTGCAGGCTGACGCTCTATCCACTGAGCCAAACCGGTTAGGGCAATAATGAGAATTATTAAAGTGAGTGGGTTACTGGGCAGGTCTTCATAGGCCAAAGGAATAATGTTATTTTATGATATGATGGACTTGGAATGTGTAAACATTCAGTATAATCCAGCATTCTCTTATCTTTTACACCCAGTGAAAGACAGGGGTTTTTTTTGAAACTCAATTTACTCAGAGGTCTAGTCTTAACACTTCACCATTTTGCCTCATATTTACAGTTAAGTTCACAAATGAAGGTAGGTGTGACTGGCTTAAAAGTTGAAAGTTAAAATTAAGGAACTGACAAACTCATTTTCTTTTATGTTATGTGATAGAATGGAGTTATTCTTCTCTTATCCTTACATAAAAGGGTGATATGGTGGAAATTTTTATCCTAAAACCATAGACAGATTTACTCTTGTCATTAGTTCAAAGTGATCCCAGGAAAGTTGAAATATTTTTGGTTGGTCTGAAGGAATCGGAGTCCAAAAAAGCACTGTCTAACTTTAAGGTAAAAAGTATGGGCTTCAGAATCGGCAGGTTTGGTTTGGGTCATAGCTCAAACTGTTAAGTATAATCGTGGACAGTTAACCTCTTATTCTCCAATAGTGAATATGCAATGTCAAGATAATAATGCCATCCATGCCATAGCACGGTTATGGTCTTAAATAAGAGATTTAAAGCACTTAGCATGGTACTTAGCACAGAGAACAACCAGTATTACATTTCCTTTTTTTTTTTTTTTTTGACCTGTGACTTACAGTGGGTCCTGTCAGTTACAGCAGAGGGCCCGGTTCTCTGACCAACCCCACTCCCGTCTATTCCTTTGAAGTTAGAAATGAGGGAGAAAGTGCCACCTAGTCCCTAGGGAACCATTTCTCATATGCCTCTGACGCCTCATACAAGTGTCTGTGGAAGCTAAGGGACTTTTCTTTTCTTTTTAGGATCTCCCACTGAGTTCAAAGACTTATCCTTCCAAAGAATATGAGCAATAGTCACCGTTTATGATGTCATATTTGCTGTAATGCTTTGTTGTAGTTGCTGAAATGTTCACAGACTCTGTTATTGCTTAGATCTTAAAACAATTACAAGGGAAGTCAAATTCCATTCTCCAGTAAAATGCAGAACTAGGATTAGTCCCATTGTGCAATAAAAACATGAAAAGCTTGAAAAACACATCTATCTTTAGATTATTAAGTTTACAAAGTCAACCCAGATTCTTTGATTTGACTACGATCCTATCCTGATATATTTAAAGTAAGCTAAATCAGCAACATTTTAATCTATTCATATCTTAGCCATGGATTTTTCAATTTGCATTCAAATATAATATTGTGATATTATTGCCTCAAATCCAAAATGCTTGTGTTTTGTTTTTTTCATTTTTCCACTCTGGAAATTGGGATACCTTATGATTAATGTGTGAAGTTATGTTGTGGTGGTTCTTTTCCATAAAAACTGACCCCAAACCAATAGAAGATCTTTAGAGTGATGGAATCTTAGACTTAGGAAAATATGGAGTTCAAATATCATCTTAGTTTGTGTTGATATTACCTAAGGTGGCTTTGCTCTTACTTTGTGGTAACTTAATTATTGGTAAAAGAAACAAGTTTAACATATACGGAAGATAATCCAAAGGCTTCATTAAGATTTTTGGTACACATATATTTGTAGGTCAAACAGCCATCACTCTAGTTAATAGCTGGTCTTTTTAATGTTTCAACATTGCTTTAAAAGTACCACAGATTTCTTCCAATATGATAGGAAATACCATATCTGTAATAGCAAGATTCCAAGGAGAGAAAAAGCCTCCCCAGCCAGTTTCCAGAAACCCCTTTCCTCACTCTTAGGGCACCTTTCTTTTGAGGGTCCCTGTAAAAGCTAGGGTGGCAGCCATACCTGTCACTATCATGTGGGACAACACACCATTCAAAACCTGACATACATACAGCACAGTGCTGGGTACACAGCAGTTATTCAATAAACCTCTCCTGGCGCACTGATGTGAAATACAAAACTGTTCTAGTTAGGCATGCATACAGCTTTTAACATTTGGAAAACCCAATTTTCTAAAAATGTTCCCTTTTCCTTTTCTCTCCTCCACCTCCCCACCCCCCCCTTTTTCCTACCAAAAATCCTATGAGTTAATTTTGGGACTTTTACACAAATAAAAGCCACCAATAAATCAAATCCTAAATGTTCCTTTTTTCCTTGAAATATAAAAAGTGGTGTGTTTTGTTTTGTTTTGCTGTTTGTTGGTTTTTTTCCATTTTGGTAGCAAACATGAAAATCACCACACCTAAAGGTAGAACACCAATTTCAAAAAACATTCGATCAACGCAGTTGGTGTGGCTCAGTGGTTGACCAAGAAACCAATAGGTCTCCCATTTGATTCCGGGTCAGGGCACAGGGCCCTGGATGCGGCTCTATCCCCAGTAAGGGTCATGATGTTCACGCCCGGTCAATGATGTTCCTCTCTCGTCGATGTTTTTATCTCTCTGTTCCTCTCTCTCTAAAAAACAATAACAACATACTTAAAAAAAACACATTTGATCAGAGATGGAAAACTCAATGGTAAAGTTTATAGAAATGAGTGAAATGTAATGTTAAAAGCTGATGATGTGAAACACTGATCAAGAACCAATTAATAAATTACTGATAATGATTTTCTTTAGGAACACTGATAACCCTTAGCAACTAGGTGGCAAGTTGGTTTGAAAATATTTCAATCAATTAAACTGAAAAGTAATAACCCTTATGAAACGGGGAAGAAAAAAATGTACGAAAAAAACAAAGAGGATGCCAAACCGGTTTGGCTCAGTGGATAGAGCATCGGCCTGCGGACTGGAGGGTCCCGGGTTCGATTCCGGTCAAGGGCATGTACCTTGGTTGCGGGCACATCCCCAGTGGGGGGTGTGCAGGAGGCAGCGGACCGATGTTTCTAACTCTCTATCCCTCTCCCTTCCTCTGTAAAAAAATCAATAAAATATATTTAAAAAAAAAAAACAAAGAGGAAAAGAAAGAGAAGAAAGGAGGAAGGAAGGGGATTTATCTTAAAATATTTAATCTAAATTTAAAAAAAAATTCCTGCTCTCTAAAACACTTTACATTCCAAAATAGGAAAAGAATTCTTTAAATGCTGACATTACAATAGGCACAGGATCAACTATTAGATAATAAAAATCATTTCTAGGCCAGCAGCCCACAAATCGTGATTAAAAAGCAAACTTCAAATACTACTAAATCCATTTTCTTATTTGCTACCTAATTCCATCAGAGCTAACAGAAAATTTAATAACCAGAGAGCTTCACAGAGAAGGAACATGGTGATCTGTTTTTGCTCATTTTTTTTACCCACTTCCAGACAGAAGAAATTAGATAAACTATACGCTTGATTTTTTTAAAACTAAAAGCCTCCCACTTTTTCCTTTAGCTTTGAGCATAAGTGAAATGCATAATAAGAGCATTCTTTCTTAATTTTTCATATGTGTGGCCCAATAGCTTTGGGAACTCTGAAATGGTCTCTTTCAGGCTTCATTGAAGGGGGGATATTTGCATAATTCCTACAGCATCAAAAGAAATTGGCATTGAGGTAGATATAGAGGATTCATCATCAGGAGACATATATCTGCCCTTCATGTATGTACGTGATTTTTAAAAACACTACAAATGTTTTTGAGTTATAAAAAGTATGACACATTCTAGCATATTACCCCACGTCCGGTATACTACTAGTATTATTTAGAGTTCTTGTATTTGCACTTTTCCAAGAACCGTGGTTAAGAATAAAAGGCAAAGGAAACGGATCACTTCCTGCCTCCAAATAATGTCTTACCCACCTATGCTTAATAGATTTATAAGCTCAGATAAAAACTAATTTCCAGCAAGCTGTGAAAGAGCAAAAGAAAAGCCCTGGCTTAATTTGTTAGTGAAGGAAGGCCTTGAAGTTCATATCAACTTTACATTCTGCAAAGCAACTCATCCACATAAAAATAGTCAAAAAGGACTTCATTTAATTAGTGATATGTAGACTTTTGCATAGAAAAAGGTTACAAAGTAATGCAAAAAGGACTAGGTACAGTAATTTTAAAACAAATATTTAAAAGTATAATGTTGCATAATGTTTAACATTCTTCTTTATTGCTTTCTCCACACAGCAGAGAAATGAAGTGCATAATAATACATGCTGTGTCTTTATCTTTCAAACATAAAATCTCATGTGCTCAATTTCAATGTATTAAGAGATTATTTTGTCATTAAACAAAATAAAAAACAAAACAAAACGAAACCAAAACACCATTATGTAGCACTAGTCTAGGCATGGACAAACTAATTTATGTACATCCCATTGCATACATTCATCTTGATTTGGGGTCAAACGCAATCTTGAGCTTGACAAAGAGCATTTAAAAATCGTGGCTTTTCTGTTCCAAATGCTATCTATCTATCTACCTCCCTGTCTCATCACCTCCAGAAATGCTACTTCTCCCAAAAGGATGACAAGGATAGTACATGTCATTGGGACAAAATGAAGAAGATACATATGTGGAAATAGTCCAAATGAAACGGAATAAATTATGCTAAACTTTTACAAACTGGAGTTTTCAAGTTGGCATGAGTCAGCTAGCCTCTGGTGGGCACACAGTAGGTCACTGCTCCTGGGTGTACTCTATAAATGTATGGTTTATAGAAGAAGCACCACATTCTGAGCCATGAAAGAAAAAGGTGCCTCGGGGTTTGCAGACCAGGCAGAATGCTTGCTAATCTGAGCACTGATGGAATAATTGCTTATACCAGTGTATTGCTGAATGTCACCACTTGGCAAGTTTGTACAAAGAAAGCAAACTAAGATAAAACTCGGTCTTTCAACTTGAAAATTATTTTCAGCAATCCTTTTGGCCAATAAAAACCTGTTGGTTTCAACAGAGTACTCTTCCCTGGCATTGTATGTCTGCAGCCTAACGCAAGACTTCTGTCTCTCTCCCTTCTTAACCTAACTTCTACACTTGTCACTTGTGCAATGTTCCATGCTCAGAACAAAACTTCACTAGCTCAGGCACTTAGGAAACATGAATATTTTTTTCTCATCTAGTTTCAAGAGAATTCAGTCAGAGCCGTTTTCTTCTCCAATTTGGATATACCGAGGCAAGGCTGGATGGTACAGTCTTTTACTTTCCGGGAAAATTCTACATGGAAGCAAGTGTGAAGTTCTCAAACGTTGCTGACGTCAGTTACCAAGCTGCCTTAACCAACCACAAGAAAGAAAACAGATCGCTAATACCACATTTCCACTTGTGAGGTGTGTGTCTCAAATAGCTTTACTGTTCCTTGGTGGGTCTGTAGACATCTGTATGGCGGCCTTCCGGTGCAGATGCTGATATGCAGGACTTTCAGTTACCATGGCAACAAGTTCAATGACAACTCAAAAAGCGCCCACTTCTGTCCCCCAGGGTCGGTAAGGTTTACTGTTAGTTCCACTGCTCGTCTGCTGAGGGCTGGATGTGGCTGATACGGACAGGGGCGGGCTGATGGCTGTGGCGGCTGCCACCGCGGCAGCGGCGGCGTTTGGGGGGAGCATGGGGAAGGCCCCCGCGAAGGACAGGGGGAAGCTGTGCGCCGCTGCGGTGGCGGCTGCGGCGGCCGCGTGGACCGTGGCTGAGAGGGACAAGAGCGAGGTGGAGAGGGGCGGCACGCAGGGGGCCACGCTGCCCGTCGATGGCATCCGCAGGGCAGAATCCGCGTGGGCAAACGTGGCCGTGAGGAGCGCGGAGCCGTGGGCAGGAGGCACGTCTGAAGTCGTGGAGAGGCGGCAGGGCGTGGACTCCGAGGCGTGGAGTCCGTTGGGCTGGAGCAGGGCTGCGGGCAGATGGTGGAAGGCCGCAGCCCAGTGGTGCGGGTGCAGCGGGTGGTGGTGGTGGGCCAGGGAGGAGGTCATGGCCGCTGCTTCCCGCTGCGAGGCGCACGTGCTGAGATGGGAGACCAGCCGCACCCGCAGGGGGTCCGCGGAGTCCAGGCCTTCCACCGAGCTCAGATACCTGGCCACTTCCGTCAGGCACTCTCGGAACCCGATGCTCATGAAGTCCATGGCAAGCGCGTGTGCATCGAAGTAGCCTAAAGGGAGGTTTGAGCAAAGTGGGGGCCAGGAGAGAGAGAGGAGAAAAGGATCCAGTTACTAAGAGTCCTACCAACTAGGTCCCACTCTGTCCTCAGAAGATTGAAGCAGAACCACGATCCTTTCTGACAACGCTGCCAGCTACTTATGGTTGCAATTTGTGCAGAAGTGAAGAGAGTATAGAAAGTACACTTTGCAATTCACATGTGTGACAACTCTGGCATTGCTGGGTACTACAGTTGTTCTTGCAACCAAATTTCACAGTGGGGGCGGGGGTGTGGTTGGTGTGTGTGTGTGTGTGTGTGTGTGTGATTAAGAACATGCATGTTTCAAATACTTCCAGGGGAAAAAGTGGTGTTTCTCCTTCTGTATTGTGGACTAGTGAAATTCCCTAGTCGAATTTTTTCACGGTGACACAGAGTTCCAGGCGCTGTCTCTGTCACATGAGCTGTAGATTAAAGGGCTTTTTTGAAACATCCGCACTCTCTTGGCGGTAAACAGAGAGGTAAAATACATTTTAGCGGCTTGGGGACTTTCGAATAAAGGACTTTTCTTGCACCAACACTTACTGTATCTTAAATTTTTTTAAAAAAATGCTTCTTGACTCTCAGCGGCTTTTTTTAAATCAACAAAGTGAAAACATGTTGTCATTACTTGGTATGAAAAAATCCAATAAAAACAAAATGTTTCATTTATCATCTATTCATTATTAGACTATCTTATTCTGTATCTCAAGCACTTTGGAAAATAGTAGTCATAATATTCAAAAGTCCTAAAGCTAGAATTCGAACTGAAATTTGGAAGGCCCAAAAAACATCTGGAACAAAAATATACCCTATAAAAACAGTAACAACAGCACAAAGCTGATATAAGACAGCATCATGAAATGTGGAAGATGAGGACTTAGGCAGAGTTAGCAACAAAGTCCCTGGGATTAGAAGGAAAAGCTCTCCCTAAAGAAGCCGCCTCCATGGAAAAGATTTCACGGGAGCGTCCTCAGGGTTCTCTGTGGGCCTTTGGGGACTCTGTCTCCCATGAGAGAAGAGGAGGGAGGTAATCACCAGTGTAGACCGAGTTCAGAAACCCAGAAGGATTTAGAAATTTAGGTTACTCTACTAAATCCTCTCTAGACACCACGGCAACATCAAGGTAGACTGTAAAAAAAACGAACCAACAGGATTGTAACCCTCAGAGCTTCCAAGAATTTTCATGAACAGGCATGAAAAAATTTGAAATCTGTGGTTTGCCAGCTACATGTTGCTGTATATCACTGAGTTCTCTGTTGCATCTTAAGGAACAGAAAGTATGCCAATTCCTATCCTGTTGGTGGATACAGAGGGAAATGACGATGAGCAGCTGCCTCCTATGAATGAATCTTGGGCCAAAAATTATAGTACAGCACATAGGTCTATACCACATCACCTGTGCCACCACTGCGCTACAGCTTTCAGTGAACAAACTCACAACCTTGTGAAGTGGACACTAGCACTGTTCTCACTTTACAGATGAGGAAAATGGGGCTCGGAGAGGGTTAGTAATTTACCAAGCATCACAGAACAACTACAGGACAGTGCCAGGATTTGTGAACAGGAAACCCAACTAGAGTCCATGCTCTAAGACATCAGCACACTATGAGGCCCTTATAGCAGTTGTGAGTCTTGGGCGATGTGAGCCCACACTGCCCGCCCCCCTTCTTCAAGGCCCACATATTCTCCAGCTTGGTGACCTGTTTAATGACCTGGCAGTCAGGCCACTTGTATGTGCTTGCTGGGAAATGTGTGTTCATAAACTATTCTGGTTTGGATTTTAGGACTGTTCAGGTAGCCAAGAATAGCAACCAAGACAGAACTTAGTTTTTATAGTAAGGCATAAGAACAATATTACTCTTTACAAGTATAGCTCAGGCCAAATATTTGAAATGTTGATAAGAATTCTCAGTCATGTGGTTAACGATGCCAAGGGAGGCAGAGCAAACAAACAACTTTTCTTGCACCACCACTAACTCAGTCGGTGCAGACGGAAATGTGGGGCTGGAGGGGCCTTAGAGCTCAGAGAACTAGTGTCGGCCTCATAGTGCAACAGTGCACTTTTCTGTGTCTGGTCACAAGTGAGGCAGTGGCCAACCTGGGAGGGATCCTTTGCTCTTAAGATTTCATCCATTCTCTTCTCCATTCTGTAAGAATGCTTGCATGCTATACTGAGGGTTACATTTTAATGAACAGAAATTTAAAAACCCACGCCCATTCATTCAGGATGGTTCCTTGAGAAGGTGCAACCAAGGGTAAGTCACAGCACGTGGGCTTCCTTGTACAATGATCAGCCTCCCTGACACACAAATATCGGAACAAAACCAGGAGGTTAGAGGCAATCTTTTCCTCTTGTTCTTCCTTTCCTTCCCTCAAACCTCCATTAGATCAGAGCTAGAACTCAGTATAATGCAGCTATTCCAAAGGAAGTGGCCCTAGAATTACTCTCATGTTGTTTTCAGATTTTGGTTGGTCTTGGATTTAGAGGTGACGGCCAGGGCTGTGTTCCACAGGTCCTCAGCAGCATGGCCATAGTGGAGTTAAATACTGAACTACTTCCATACCAACTGGTAACAGCTACTTGCCTCCAATGCCCCTTTCCTGCCTTCATCTATGGCAAACTATGACAATACATAGTAAAAGGCTGATAGCAAGCACAGAGAAGCTTCCAGAGTATAGGTGCAGCAGCACTTAGCCCCTGGTGGTGTCTTGTACTTATCCAGTTGTCAAATATATTAAACTAGTGACCAGGTGCACGATTTTGTGCACATTGAAAGGAAATTAATTAGAAGGTGGCTGGCAGGGCAGGACCTGGGCAAGATGGCCGAACACTCCCTGGAGCCAACCTCCCATGGTCCCTCCCCGGTGTCTTCAGAGTGAGCGGATCCCTCTGGCAGGGGGGGTCCCTAGGCCTGGCCTGTGGGGATCAGGCCGAAACCAGCTCTCTGACATCCCCCAAAGGGTCCCAGAGTGCGAGAGGGCACTCTGCAAAGTTGCTGTCCTACAGAGTATGGAATGCAAAAGCAAGTGTGCAGTAAACCAGATTCGGGCCCCGACAGTGCCCCAGCAACAACATAACCCACGGCCGAAGGTGGAATCGCGTGGCCCTGTGAGGAATTGGGCTCCCTCCTCTCTGGTTTTGGGGTGTGTCACCCGAGAACCGCTGCTGCCAAGTCACTGCAGCTTGGCAGCTACTGCGTCGAGTGTCTGCCCCCTGGTGGTCAGTGTGCATCATAGCAACCGGTCAGATGGTCAGACACTTAGCATATTATTAGCCTTTTATATATATAGATAACACCCTTGGCTAAGATGAATACCAAAGGTTTGTTTGAAGGGTGAAAAAGATACAAAAGGGTGAAACCCAGTCAAGTGGAACTGGGATGATAAAACTTGAATGAGAATTACAGCTTTCCCATCTCAAGTATATTTTTAGCATGAAGTAAGGGTCTGTCCCTGACCCCCTAAACAATTCTTCCCCAAATCACTATGGAATACAGAGAACATCTCTCCAGGGAACTGGGCCCAAGGAACCTTCTCCTATTTGCTCTGGTTAGGAATGACTGCTCCATTAACGGTTTCCAGTAGAGATTCACTACCTGCACTTCAAATGCTCTGTCTGGTCTGAATCCAAAACCAACCCAAATCTGAAAACAACGATGAGAGTAATTCTAGAGTCACTTCCCTTGGAATAGCTGCATTATACTGAGTTCTAGCTCTGATTTAATGGGGGGCTTTGGGGAAGAGAAAGAAGAAAAAGAGAAAAGATTGCCTTTAACCTCCTGTTTATGTTTGGATGTTTGTGTGTTTGTTTTGTCTTTCTGTACAGATTCCAGCATGTGCTTCTGAAGTCCCAAACAAATCTCTGACCGGGCTGCTGTGAATGAAGCTTCACTCCCACAGTATTATGAAAGCAAACACAAGCCCAGGGTCAAGTGCCCCTTTTGTTCCAGAAGTTCTTTCCCACGAGTTCAATCCTGCCATTAGCATTGATTTTCACGGCTTTAATCTGGGACCTCCTATCCCAGCTTGTTAAAGAACCGCTCAACTATGACTTCCTTGCAATCTTGGGGAGGGGAGAGGAGGAGGGGTGAAAAAAGAAAGGTGGAAAGGGGTGGGGAAAATGAAGTCACCTACTTACCTTTACCCCCTGTTGCCTGAAGCATCTTCAAATGATCCACTGTCATTTGTAATATTTCAGCTTTTTCTAACTTTGCAGATCCCTGCATAAACAAGTAATAAAGTCTTGTAAGTTCTATGGAAACAAATTTGGGACATTTTGTACTGGATTTTCAATTTTCCTTCTCACTAGAAAATTCTAAGTTTAATTTTTTTCACAGAAAAATCTGAATTCCTTCCAAACTTTAAATGAAAACTCTAATTACTATGTCACACCTAATGACAGATAGTTGCTATGTCACACCTAATGACAGATATTTCAACTTTTAAAGGTTAAAAAGTACAATAAATATTTTTATCATAAGAATAGCTATACTCCCCAATGTTACTCCACCAAAATTACAATTGTGAAAATCTCAAACTTTGCATCCAATCAGTACCTTGGTTAATAGTATATTTAATTGCATTATCTAGTTATATAGAACATCCAATAGTCCTATATAATGCTCAAGTCCAGATCAGTTGAATACAACTCTGGAGGATAAGGAAACAGAATCTCAAATTATTGCTGAACCCTGACTTGGTGACTTTGATTGAATAATTAGTTGGTCTTGGTATTTTTTCATCATATCAAACATTATTGGTATTAAAGAAGACATATGGTAGAATAATTTGCAATATTTAACTCTCTGAAAGTGTCTGCCACATTTTAGAAGATTTAGTTTCCAAATATTTAACATTCTTGGTTATATAATGGACATATCTCTTTTAATGCTTTTCTAACATTTTAAAATAAAATGTTTTGACTTTCCAGCTAGAAAAATAAAATAAAAATAAAAAATTTTAATAAGTCTTTAATTCATACTAGACCTCGGGTAAGCAGAACCAAAAATAAAAAAGGGAAGACTTTTACTATGTTTTCCAATAATTACCAGCAGGTGTCACTGTGAATTTCAAGATCATAAATAAGAAAGCATAATTTACTACTTATCTAGTAAGCATCAGCAACATGTAAGGATATTTAAACCCTTTAAAATAGTTCTTAATAAGATTTTCTTTGAAATGTATTTTTATGTCCCCACTTTTTAAAATAAGGCAACTTCTGGAAACCAACTGAAAAAAGTGCCACCTCAAACTGTCTCAGAGTGCTGTGGGTGGCTTCTAATTTCCTGGAGGAGCTAAATAATTAAACCAATATGTTTTTTTCAGAAAAGGAAATAGAAGTTTATTTCAGGTTCCTATGCGTTACTTGTTTCGTGAAAATTATCAGCTCAATGCCAGTTATTTACACTGCTTGAATAAATACCCTTCTAATCATACTGTGACAGGGCCAGCTCACTAAGGTTGGTAGCCAAGCTCTGCAAATGGGAAAGTCTGTGTTTATGGCAACTAGCTGCCAAACAACTGAGGTTTGCTTTTAAGATTTGTTTTAAATTGACATTTAAGAAAAGAAAGAAAGAAAAAGAACAACAACAAAAACCACACCAAACTGATGGTTCCTCATAACTAGGTATTTCAGTACTCAAAGTAAAAATATCACTAAATAATGAAATCTTCAGTTTCAGCCTACTGCTACTAGAATGGGTGCCTGTGTTTCTCTTAAACATATATAATCAATAGCATATTACATCTTGTACTTCTGTCAGTGCTCAATTTTTCCATGAAGATGTACAGTAGTTTCAGTGAACGTGACTAATAACAAAATTGTAGTTTCTGGATAATTTCTGAGGGCTTTGTAATGTTAGTTTGGTTCATGAAATAAACAACAAAATGAAATAAACAAACAATTGCTGTCTTACATTCTATTTGAATTAAATTGAAAGTATTTTCAACAAGGTTATGATGCCACATTCTTTGAAAGATGCTGTTAGAAATCTATGCCATTAGCCATGGTGGCAGGAGGAAAAACTTTTCTAAAATGACAAAGAAATATTTACATATTTGGCTTCCTACTCTATTAAGTGTGAAAATTTTTTTTTTTTTTTTTGTAAAGAAATACGTGAATTCTGAAAAGGGCATGTGGCTAGTTTGATTTTTACCAAACTTCCAAAAAGATGCTCCAAATCGAGCATTATTCTGTTAACCCAGGGATTAAAAATGAAACCATGTGGGTTGGTAACTAAATTGTATTCGTATAAGTTATTTAGAAAATAGAGCTGGAGATGTTACTTCCTGGGCTTTGGTAATTTTTAAAATAAAAAGCTTATTTTTCTTAAACTGTTTGAAACAAAAATGAAATTTCACACATGATATCCTTCTTTTTTTTTTAAAAGAATACCACATACATCTTGGTTTTAAACAAAACCACCACTGGTCTTCATAGAAAGAACAGAGAAAGAATGAACACTGTTACCCTTAAGGGGAAAATAAGCCCAAGAATGGAAATGTTTTTCAGCTTCACGATGGATTATGTTTTTAATAGTTTTGCCACAACAAAGCATTTTATTGAAATCACTGCTCTGTGCCAGATCAGGGCACATACACCATTATTTTAAAAAGCTTTAACAGGCTTTCCCAGATGAGAGAATCAGATTTTTTGAGCTTTTTGGTTGGGGTGGTCAGGGGTGAGGATAGCTTACTTGTTTTTCAAAAGCAGTTGGCACCAGTCGCCTCAACTCGGATAAACTGTTATTTATCCGATCTCGACGCCTTTTCTCTATTATCTATCCCAAAGAAAGCAAAACAAAAGTTTATGAATACACAAATGATAAAATTACTCATGATGAAAAAACACAACTGCTACACATTAGGCTGCATAACATGGAATAAAAAGAAAAAAAATCACATACCCCTCTCCTTTTCTTTCTTGCCATAATCTGAGATGTTGTTGTTGGAGAATTCGATCTAATCACAGAGCTAGAACTTTGCCTATGAAATAGGAAGAGTATGTCAGGTGCTTCATTAACATAACAATAGTTTCTTCTGAGTACTTGATGCCACCTATTAAACATTGAGGGTGATTTCGCAGTTCAGGTCTGTGTTACTTTATTCTTAATTCTTGCTTTACTCTTAACATACTTTGCTTCCAGCCTATATCTCTTTTCAGGTAGGAATGAATGGTGGCTTAAAAAAAGAAAAGTTTTAATGAGTAATTTAGATGCCAAATCCATTGGCAAAAACATCCCTAAACTTTTATTAAGTCTCCTAGTAAAATAATTATGGGCAGTCAGGGTGAGAAATTAGATATTAGTACTTCCTAGTGCCACTCATAAATGTTTCTTAAAAGTCAACTAGTCTCTAGTAGCATCCTCCTCCTCTTTCCGTTCAAACATACTGAACAAAGCAAAGCTATTTTAAAATAAAGGCCATGTTTAGCACCATTACCAAACAGATATACAATCACCACATGTCACACGGTTGTCTCTAGATGCAATCTTTAAAATAAACACACGTTATCTTACTATTTCAATTAGTCATATCTCACAACGGGAAAAAAATGACAAATTTAATGTTTTGTATCCGAATCTTCCAAAAGAACGCTCCAAAGTAAAAATGCCACTGATAAGAAAATTAAAATCAGATCAGCTACCAGGTAAGGGTTTTACTTTGAAAACGAAACCTCTAGGAGCTGCACCTCATTCTTGAGTTTCCTAATGAAAAGATTATTTTATACTGAGAGTTCAATCAAATCATTATTTTGCCACTTAGAATATTTGCCATCCTTTCTAGTTTGTATCTGTTACTCTTCATAATTCATGGATTCTATAATTCTTTATGTTCTCAGATTTTCCAGGGTTCCTGTTATTTGTTCTTCCATTTTAGAAATGTTGCACAGATCAGGTTGTTAGTACTTCATCTTCTCACTTCTGGATCTTATTTCTGAATTAAACGTCCTCCTCATTCCTACCCATTCTCAGCTGGTTTTGCCTTTCACAGGGCATCTTCTGTTTTTCTCTTCTTATTTTTTAAGATGACCGACACTTTAATAATTAGAAGATACTTTGTAAACAATGTTTCAAGCAAATGTCTTTGCTCTTGCTGATATCAGGCTTTGGTTTTGTATGTATTAGAAGAACAGCATTGAAAGAAAGAAAGAAAGAAAACAGCATTGAAAGTTTTCCAAAAGGTAGGAAGAATTTTGCTCTTTGAGTGACAGTTGCAGATAAATAATTAAGGTGCTTCTGGGGATGCCAATTAGAAGCAATTATCATTTGACCCGCCCGGCACTAAAATGCCTCGGTAATCTCCCCCTGCCACTGGGAAGTGGAGGTCTGGCTTCTGTGATCCCGACCCCGATCTTTCCCAGACTTAAGAACCGGCAGTCAAAGGAATAACGCCCGAAACGATCCTTACATCTGTCACTCACTCTGCTGTCAGCCAAGACACACATGGTCGACCCGGAGCGCGCACCCTGCTTAGCGGGGACACGGCACGTTGCTTCAATTTCTCCATCAAGCAACTTAGCTTTTTAGTCTCTTTTAAAAACATCAATTTTTCTTTGCTCTTGGCCCATTTCGACAGTTTCAGTGGCGGGGGCGTCGCCCGTCGCCGGGACCTGTTTGTCTGCCAGCCCGGTGCAGACAGCCGGGCAACATCGCGGCCAACTCCCGCACTTTCAGGCGTCCCCGTCCGCTGCGCTGCACCCCTAGAGTGAAAACCCACCTCCCTCGCCCCACTCCACGCACGTTCCCGAGCGCCCACCACTCAACGTTTCTCCGGCAAAACTTCCCCCTCTTCGTGAGGACGCCGCGGAAAGGAGCCTGGAGGTTCCCACGGAGCCGTCCCACACAAAACTCCCCGACGCCTCGGGCTCCGAGCGCGCGCTCACCCCGAGTAATTGTTCTCGCTTCCCACGTCGATGGTCTCGTCCAGGTCGCTCTCCGAGGTCGTCTCCTCGCAGGGGCGCTTCATCGCGGCGAAAAGGGCGCGGGGCGCAGCCCGGCCGGAGACACGGATGCCCAGCGCGGCACAGCGACCTCCCTGCCGGCCTCCTCACCCCCTCCCCGGGCCCGGCAGGCGCGGTTCCCGCGGCGGCGCGGTCGGCTCCTCCGGGCTGTTTCCCACGCCGCAGCCCAGCTCTGCGGCAAGACCGGCGCCGGACACGCCCCCCCGGCGGGCGGGGCCCACGCGCGCACCTCCCTCCCGCCGGCCCCCGGCGCCCCGGCGGGCCCCGCCTCCTCGGGGCCGGCGTGGCCCGCGATTGGCTGGGGCGGAGAGGAGGGCCGCCCCTGCCCTCGCCCGCCTCCAGGATGGGCAGGAGCGTGGGAACCCGCCTCCACACCTGGG